TGTGCATGATAATAGGCCTCATCTAGTGAGTTTCTCTTCCTTCACCCAACCTGCTGCCACAAAAGCCCTGCTAATTTTCAGCCCTGTTTATACCCAGACACTGTCTAGTAGTGTGTGGTGTCAACAGAATCGTGCTATTTTGGGTAAGGCTTGAAGCCAGTTATTGTATATGCATACAATATACTTCAATACACATGACTGAAATCTGCACAGAGTGGTGTGTCTTTCATATGTCAGTTATGGTGGTGTCTAGCAGAGCTTTTAAATTCGCAGTGTTCATTGGATCAGTAGTGCATATGGAGAGTTAGGGTGGGTGTCAACCATCTCTGATACCTAGCATGTCATGTGTGATGGAACCTGGTGTTCAAGTGAACATGACACACAGTACTTTATTTGCAATGTGGTTTGGAATGGGTCAATGTGTAGCATGGCCCAGTAACTAGAAGTACAGCCTCAGACCCAGCACATTGTACAGCATAGGAAGGAGTCCAGTAGAAGCTGATGCCTAGCAGTGTGGGTGTGTCTTCCACAGAAGGATGCCCAGTAATGGAATTCCTAGGTATCATGCAAGACCTACAGGGTGAGAAGTTCCCAGCCTGGTCTGGTGGCTGTCGATTAATGTGGCGTATGAGGTCATACTGCAACTGATGTTTGGATGTGTAGTCACAGGGGTGGTGGTTTGATAACACTGTATGTCAGAGAGAGCAGTGGAATTACAGGGTGTAAGCTCTGCACAATCCCTACGTTGTATGTGTTAGCTTGTAACTGAGCTGGTGTCTGACAAGGTCTGGTCATTCATTTTGAAGTAGATTGGCAGTGTGCTATGTGATGTCCGAGTGTGCTTGACACTTAAGAGTGTGTGAGGAGGCTGTTAGGGTCTCAGAAGAGCCTGACACCTAGCAGTGCATGTGGGGTAGTTGCAGGGTGATGTGTGCATTCCAGGTCTTTCGGCTAGCCTCTTAAGAGTTGCCATGGAGTGTTGCATGGCCCAGCAGGTCTGATATCCAACAGAAATATATGAGTTGATGGACTGTAGTGTCCAGGGGACCTGATACTAATACTGTAGATTGTTGGGGTGGGTGTGATATTCCCGAGGGACTGAACTCCAGCAGGATATGTAGAATTTCAGTGATATTAGGGTGTCAAGTAGGGTCCAATACTAAGAGAGTATTTGGGTACAGTGGCAAGAGAGTGTTCTGTATGGCCTGATAAATAGCTGTCAATAAAGGAT